AGGGTTTAGGGGTTTAGGGGTAAGCTAAGGAAGCCCAAGCTCATTGAAGATGAAGGTCCCTGGACCTTAAACCCAAAATCCCCAAACCATAGGGGCAGTTCTCTACATTAAGGAACACAAAAGGAACTAACTAAGAGGACTACCCATACACCTTACAGCTCGATGCTGGAAGTTCGGGCCATAGAACTCGGCATGTCAGCAATTGAGACGTCGTACTTCGCAAAGTGAGGAGCAGATTTCAGGGCCTTAAGTCCCCTAAACCCGAAACCCTAATTAGGGTTTAGGGTTCAGGGTTTAGGGTTTAGGGTTTAGTCATAGGATGTGCAGAGCTGTTGGTTTGCGAGGAAAGACTTTTTGGAGCTCTTAGGTGCAGGCTCTGGTTCAGGAGGATGAGTTCAACCCAGGTGCATCTATGACTGGAACAGAAAGTTGGGGAATCTATGCTAGCATAAGTTGCAGGGACCATGAAGCAAAACCGTTGCGCTTTTTCTCCAGACTTTCACATTGTGTTGTGCGGTGTTGGTGCTATCGCAGCTGATGGCCTCCAAGGTCATGTCTTCGATGACGCTTCGCACTTTCTCGGGCCGGCCCACACGAACCGCCTGGCTCCGACACGAGGTAGTCCTATACCGTAGAACCCACAGCCTTTTTGACCAAAGCCCGAGAGCCAAATACCAAAACATCAAAAAAGCACACAAAACCCCAAGGCCCCAAACCCTACAACACCCGACGCCCGAGACCCCAAGACCCTAGGTCAGGGTGGTGCTCAACTAGGGCTTCAAACTTAGAGCTTCTGGTTTAGGGTTGAGGCCACGGTTTAGGGTTTAGGGTTTACGGTTCAAGTCGGTGTTCAGGTTGGAGACTCATCTAGACTTTGAAGTAACCAGGGAGAAAGTATAGACTTTTATTGCATAATGGTTCCCTTAAGGAACAAGTCCCCCCCAAAAAAAGTATTCAAGTATGGTACTCCAGAACCCAGTCATGCTTCGTTTGTTAAATTGGGGTGCGTGCGGCTTAGGAGGATCTTCGGCCGAGGTTTCGGCTTTGGGATGCAGTGGAGATTGGGGCTTCGGCCTTTGGTGTTGGTGTTGGGGTTTAGGGTTTAGGGTTTAGGGTTTAGGGTTTAGGGTTTAGGGTTTACGGTTTAGGGTTTAGGGTTTAGAAGTCGCGTGGCTTCTGACAGTTGAGGGCTTACTGACAGGATCAAGGCTTAGGATCAAGGCTTATCAAGTGCGTCTTATAACTTATAACTGGGGTAGTAGCAGTTGCAGCTACTATTGTAGCCTCGCACGTAGAAATAGCCATACTCAAGAACCTTCGAGTCTACACTACTCAATCAACACTTTGTCTAAATGCTCGCGGAAAGCTGCTGCCCTGCATCTTCGCTCTTCCTTTCTCCCTAAACCCTAAACCCTAAACCCCTGAACCCTAAACCCCTAACCCCTAAACTTAAACCCTAAACCCCTAAACCGCTGTGGGCAGCCTATGCCCAAAGGCCGAAACCCCGAAGCTCAGAAGACCAGGCTCTGGGCTCCTAGCAGAGCTTTGTTGCCAAGTTCAAAGGACCAAAGAGGCGAAATTTTCAGTCTTAAAGGGGGTTTTAGGGCCTGGATGGGCTTAGGGCTTAGGGATAATCCACACCGCAGCTTAAGGGTTCTCACTACGCACCCTGAGGTTCTAATCCCTGGCACTTACCCCTGAATCCGCGAATGAAGGTATGACTGTTCCTGAGACACGGTCTGAGAGCTTTTGGAGCTTCAACAGAGCCATTAGAGTTTAGGGTTTAGGGTTATGGCTCAAGGAGTTGGGTTTGGAGTGCAAGCATCGCGGCATGAACGCCAAAGGCCACGCAATGACATTTCGAGGGACCCTACACCCTTAATCGTGCGTCCCAGACTTTGCAGGGCCGAACTCTAGAACAGTGAAACCCCCAGTAAAGCCGGTAGCGCCCTCAACCCCAAATCCCAACATCCTAACCAGAAGCAAAGAACAACCTAAACCCTAAACCCTAAACCCTAAACCCTAAACCCTAAACCCTCATACACCCCCCGAATCCTGAAGCTACGAGTCCCAAAATCCCGTGCTGCCTTGACTCCCCGACTACGGAGGCCCTCGCAAATGTTGTCGACGGCCACCTTGGAAATCAGAGGCTTTTCGGGCTTTCGGGTTTATAGTCTTGGGGTTTAGGGT